CTGCCTCTGCTGCTGCTCGTGCGAATCTCGCCACCAGAAGACGGCCTTGAGGAGCATCTTGTCGAATTCTAGACCTTCTCTTGAAAATGGTCCTAGGAGTGTCTTGGAAACATGGGATAGGTTATTCAAAAGGGCCAGAACACTAAGCCGGTAATCGATGCTGTTGTTATTTCCGTTTGCACTAGCGTCGGGACTGGCTGGTGATGCGTGCTGCTGCGTACTTGCGTTGTTCAACGCCAGACGGTACAGTTTAAAGGCAACCAAAAATACCCTCTCGGTTTGCTGGGAAAGATGAATTCGTTGATTTTGGGAATGTTCCTTCAGTTGCTGTTGAAGGGCCATGCCCCACAAATGATTGCAAACTGCGGTGTTGAAAATCAACACAAAGGTTTGGTCTTCGGCAGAGGCCGAAAGCCACTCGTGTTCGTCCATCACAATTGGCAGGCAATAGATCTCGTGCATGCTTTTTCGTTGTATGGCAGAGTGTGACGGATCGCGATTTTTCTGCTGAAGCTGTTCCTCAAGGTAACGATCCTTTCCGGTAAAAGAAAATGTTTGCAATTGAGAGGAGGCGGTCATTCTACGTATTCTTTGGAGGTGCTGAATTTGTCCTGATGATTGAGAAGAAGTGAATGCTTCCAGTTCCGTTGTGTAGCTACCTGTCGAATAAGTTGCATCAAGGGATACCAGTGATGGTTGGGGTTTGTATAGCTCGTCGTTTTCTTCCATGTAATCGTCATAGTTGTCTTCGTCATCGTCGAAGCAGCTAGTAGAATCAATGGAGCAGTCATCGTAATCAAACTCTTCCTCTGTGTCTTCAACATTTGGTCTCTCGTGAGCCCTGCTACTACTATTGTCCACTGGTGTAGCATCGGCCGCAGAATTAATGTAGGCTCCATCGGGGTGCCCCAACCCGGTGTGATTGCAACCATAGCGAACGACCGCAGAAAACGAATCCGCACTGGCCTTTTGACGAGAAAGGGCTGCTTCGAAGATGCGGCTGGCCTCGGAATAGTTTCCCAGGGTGATGTTCACACATCCTCGATTGTTCAGTTGTAGAATTGATGTCCAGGGCTTGCGCGCATCTGAAGCTGAATTTCCAAGAGCAAACGATTGGTTTTGTTCTTGATACTNTGAAACAGGAGACGTTCCTCCCCTTTCGATTCGGAACTTTCATTGGTTTGATTTCAAAAAGATGTTGAGTTCAGGATTGAGTAGTATTACTTCCACTACTGTYRTGTATTAAAAAMTAATCGTACAAGTGCTACATATACTTTCGAACCCGTTCACAGGAAAACATGAGGGTTTCAATAATAACATCTCGGACGATTCGAAATTTCATASAGGATGGGACTAATAGTAAGGTACCGCTAGAACACAATTTTTCATTTAATCACTGCGGATTCGATCTTTGTCTAATGGGCGCTATTGTAAATTGTAAATTGTAGAAGTAAACGATAATTACTTTTCGAAGCGTTTTCAACCCAGATTGCATTATCTGATGGATGACTGAAGTACTGAGAACATACMGGTACTTTGAAATCATTTTAATTTAATACCCCTTCCGCCTGGCATCAGAACATCGTATCAGTTGTTAATCGCCATATTTCCTACAACAACCCGATTAAAGTGAATACAAGTGTAAATAGTGTTCAAAATCAACAGTTAACGATGTAGCATACTATTTGCAACAGTAGTTCCTATCAACTCTATACAGAAAAAAAGTTGCGTGTGTCTGTTATGGAAGATCAAGCCGCCGCCGCGGGAGCGACTTGTTCCGGCATGCCAATGAGATAAAAGACATTATCGAGAAACATGTCCACAATCTCGCCATCGTCATCATCGTACAGTTCGTCGTTGTCCACATCGTGTTCGCGTAGTTGTTGTTGTTGGCGCTGCCTCTGCTGCTGCTCGTGCGAATCTCGCCACCAGAAGACGGCCTTGAGGAGCATCTTGTCGAATTCTAGACCTTCTCTTGAAAATGGTCCTCGATTGTTCAGTTGTAGAATTGATGTCCAGGGCTTGCGCGCATCTGAAGCTGAATTTCCAAGAGCAAACGATTGGTTTTGTTCTTGATACTGYGAGTGCTTTTCCATTGAGCCACTACGCAACGAACTTGTTATTGAAGGATCTTGTCTAAGTTGATGGTTCATGTTTATAACAATCTCTTTTAAGTGGCTTGATTCTCGAAGGTTTATTGCTTTTAATTTATGGTTGGCCTTAGGATTGCTGTGTTTGGATCAAATGCGTTATTGTGGGGACGGAAAGAAAGAAAGAAAGAAAATTCACGCGAAGAGACTTGGGAACAGTAACTCGTACGAAGTGGGGTACCTTTATTTTGAAAAGTTCCCAGTGCGACAGCGAAGAATTCCGCGTTTCCGAAGTCGGACTTGTTTCTTAAAGAAATGTCAAGATTTTTTTTGGTGTGATGTCTCAAGGTTCTCTTAACGTTGTCATCAGACTATACAATGACCTTTCTGAGTAAGASCAATAAATAAAAATTCGTTTGAAAACATTCCTAATCGAGCTCCGACATTCTTTTGACGTTGATCATCACACTAATGACCTTCAATTCGAAAACATTCCAAYYATACCTCAGACAAGGTAAAGAATAYTGAATATKAGTAGTATTCATTAACAAAACCGCATTGTGAACAGAATCGTTCTTCTTGGGATCGCTTCTTGAGAWCGCTTCTTGAATAGTGTATTGCCTCGAGAACAAAAATATTAGTGTGCTGAGTTCTTATATATTCCAACATARAGCATGACCAAACGACATTGTTCAATCTTCAGGCATATCAATGTAATCTATTTAAACTACTYCTATCGCTTTTTCGATAAGCAGTAATTCTTCCTTCAATTAAGTACCTCGGAAGAAAGAAAATTAGGGTGTCTTWTACCGCGCAGACTAACTGATTATGAGTCATAAGTTTATGAGCCATTTCTATGTTAGTCGGAAAGGGATGTGCATATTTGTTGCTAGGTTTCTTCTTGTCTAGCTAGAGAACCTTTTCTGGAGAGGACCTGGAACCATGTCGATTTCATTTCAAATTTTTTGAAGAAAAAAAAGATTCCCAGGTCCCCCTATGGGTACCGAAAATTGTGATCAGTTTTGACCACAAAAAAATGTGATCAGAAATAACAAATTTGTGATCAGTTTTTTGTGATCAATCTTGATCACAAATTCAAACTRTCTTGTGTACATTTTGTACTAGTCCCGTTTTATATAAGATTTTAATACCCTAATATAAATAATAACAGTATTTTTACACGTTTGTACTACTACTACTAATAGTACACCACCAGTCCTGTATTACCAACATAGTACTAATACTAGTATGCCCTATTAAGAATTAACGCGACTTGCTAGTAGTACTAATATGACCATCAATGACTGAATATATATATATATATCATATAAATCGAATATAAATATATTAATGTAAGAATAAAGCACATATTAATTCTAATCCGTTGGAAAAAATGTGATCAAAACTGATCACAAAAAATTGTGATCATTTCTGATCACATTTTTTTGTGATCAAAACCGATCACATAATGGAAAAAAGGGGACCGGAGTGCAGAATTAAATTTTTTCGAAAAACATCGAAATCGACATGGTTCCTGAAAAGGGGCTTTTTTATGTTTTCGCGCAGTGAGCATGATTTGAACATGTATCCATTCATACTACGAATTTAGGGCCCTCCGGAACCAATGCACACGTCCCCCTTTGACATTTAAACATCAAGGCATGATTTCATGGGTTATTCTTCCAATGAAATAACCCACGTCTCAGAGCAAAAATAACCCAYGATGGGTCATTCCCGTTAATTTAGATGGTCTACTTTTTGACAGACAGACAAACCAAAAATAGACCATCTAGTCTTRATGTTTTGACTTTCTGTCAACGCACAATTTACCCTTGACAGAGGGGGAGGCCTTGTCTCAAGTGCCAGGCATTGATACAACAAGGAGAGGGTGGGGGAGGATCCCTCTCACAATATTCATGCAAAGATGTAGCCTGGTCCTTATGCTTCCATTCCTCCTTGTAATGGAGACCGATTGCCTCTGCCAGCACCTCTGCAAGTGCCTCCCCAAGGAGGGCAATCAAAAGTAGAGGGGTCAGGCTGTAAGGCCAGTACTGCAAACTACTCAGAAGACAAGCTCATCTTGTTGATGACTCTCATCAAGGAGATGATCCTCCCCCCCATTGGTGAGGGTGACTAGCTCATGGTGGTTTACATTGGTAGAACAAGAAAGGATTCCATTAAAACCAAGTTCACCAACCAATTGAGGAGACAGAAGACGTCTACTGGGAATCCCATTGTCCCCGAGTCCGTAAGGCTTGCAAGAGAGGCCCACCCGCTGATTGGAATAAAGGCAAATCTTGGTACTGGTGAAGAGGAAACCTTTGATCTAGTGAAAGGTTACATTGATGATGAGGATGTAGAGGTCTTGGAGAAGGCTTCCTGTTCAAAATCAACCAACACAGTGTTGACTACCGACACAACCACCATTGATGTTGATGATGAACCATTGTCTTGACAGCAAAAAAGAGATCCTATGGAAGGCTGAAGAAGGAAATTGCTGAACAGGATGCTGTTCTTGAGGAGTATCTCATGCAACATGACAAGAGGGAAGCTGAAAGAGACAAGAAGGCTGATGAGAGGGAGAAAGCAAGAGCRCAGAGGGCCAAAGAGCAAAATGAGAAGTGGCTTACTACCTTGGCTCAAAAGCTTGCATCAACAATGGCGATGGTGCTTGCTGGTAATAGTAACAAGCTCAATTGCACCAGTGCTGCTAACAGTGAATCCTATGGTGTAAGTGACTAATTCCAATCCAATTCCAATCTTCAAGTTAGCTACAAATCAATGATTATKATTTAAACCAGCAGTTAAACAATACAGCAAAACACAAAATAATGAGCAGGACTGTGAGCACTAGTRGCAGACTAGTAGTTGTTTATTACGCGCCAGACCATGTTGTTCTCAATTTTGCTGATAGTATCAATGAAAACCAGGATTAGAACTGATGAAAATTGAGATTAGAACTCATATTGAGCACGTGTGGTGCAATCCCAAGAACAGGGTTTGGTTTCAAATCATATGCATTGAGCRGCATTCACATGCATTGTTTGCATACCTTATCTTCATTACAGAATATATTGAGACATCACATTACTCTCTCTTTGTATTTAAGATATTCATCTTCATTACAGTATATTTGGGTTTGAACCCTTCCCACAAAGGGTATGCACAAAAAGTAAGCACTCCCAAAAAGGGTATGCACAAAAACCAATACTGCTAATAGCAGCACAGAAAACCAGGGCAAAAATTTCAAATAACATAGTCTAACTAGTATCAGAAAAATTTAGAACAACACGGTGTAACGCCTGCTAACAAGAAGCTTGTTGTCTGCTGGAGATGCTCACTATTTTGCTTASACTACTATGTGTTGAAACTCATGATTCTTCCTCAAACTAAACACATCTCAACCACACTAGTAACACACACACCATGGAGGACACTAACGCTGTAGGTAGGTTATTGCATTTAATTGTTGCTACGTTTAATCATTGCTGTGTTGTGTAATTGTTGCTGTGTTGTACAATTGTTGCTGTGTTGAATTGTTGTCATCCAACTTTGTAGAATCAAATCAATCTAACTCAACCAAACCAGCCAATTGACTATAATGCATTATATCCAACTGGAGATACATTCCTTCCTTCATGGAAGTATCCAACAGCAAGGTCCTGAAGTTGATGCGGATTCTCCATTGCCTCATGTTTGCTGATGCCAGCAGCGTCTTCATGAAAACTGTCAAGATCTGATTTTGTCCAATGGTACTGCACTGGTAGTTGTACAAGTTGATCAATAAGTGAATAATGATCTTCCTCTCTCCAAAGTCCTCCAATCTAAGCCTATCCTTCATCCTAGAGAACTGTCCTTGGATCATCCTCATCCCCCACTCAGACATCTGTCTCAGTGACGTGGCATCCCTATTTACTATGAGACTGTCTKCATCCTCTGGATCTGTCTGAGGACTTTGAATCAGATAGTCCCTGTCCAACAAGCCAAAAGCTGAATCAACAACAACCTTTGCTCCTCCAGCACAAGTGCTGTCTACTTGGGCCATCTTGTCAAAGATTCCATAGTCACCACTGATGGAGCTGTTGTGTCACGTGCCAGGGCAATTGAAGGTTCCTATGCCAATCCTACCATCAGGTGCAAACACAAATACCCCATTGACRTAAGTATTTGCCTTCCAACCATTGAAGAAGATCTCTTGTTTGGGCCACTCTTCTGAAGACTGGATCTCTACCTTGAGCCCATCTGCTGCTGCCCAGACGCGTTGTTGTCCAAGTCTTAGATATTTTGCTCCAATTGCTCTAACATACTCATTGATTTCTTGCTCACTTGGCAAACTGACCATAGCAAGTGGATGGTTATGAAGCACTGATAGAAGGATCCTGATGGAGAACTTGAAACATTTTTACATCACTGTCGGCGTTAGACCAAAGGCCATAGCCATTCCCCTTGCARTAGATCCTCTAGTCCTCCTGTACCAGAAGAGCACTACTAGTCCAAGACAACAAGTAGCATCTGCCTCCCTCAGTTTTCCCTTCTTTTTTCCACTCCTAGTGGAGGAAAGAAGAAGAACAATCTTGTTGTTCTTGTTGACTGAGTATCTGTTGAAATCTGGAGCAATTAGCTCAAGGAGATCCCTGAAGACCTTATGGTCTACTCCACAACAGGAGTTAAGAAGCGCTTGGTCATTCCCTGAGTGAAAGAGGAMGACAAAGGGGGAGTTGACATACCTGTGGATTGCTATGTGGGGTGTTCTTCTGTCCCTTCTGTGTTGCTCCTCTTTGGTCTTCTGTTTTCCATCCGATCCATCCACCAAGCGATCTCTGTGCTTGGTTGCCCACCAGCATATGCAAAGGGTCTCAWTGATGCCCATTGTGTCTCTTTTGTTTGCTAGGAGGCAACTATTGTTGATTGTTCAGGGAAGAGTGGATACAAAAATATCATATGTTATTACACCAGCATGTACTAGAACACAGTATCAAAAATTTCATATTTTAATTAATCATTTCTGTTGAGATTCCGGATTCCTTAAGAGTAGAAGAGCGCCTAAAAAATTKTCCGTTGGGACCCTGTTTTTAATGATTCCTGTTAAAAAGTCTAAAGTAGATTGTTTAGACTTTTAGACCATTTAGATTMACAGGAACAATTCAATCCAAAAATGTGGGTTATTTTTCACAAAAAATGACCCATGTTAAAACATGGGTTCCTGGGTTCTTGACCCATGAATAACCCACAAAATAACCCACAAATAACCCACAAATCTCCTGGGCCTATTTTCAAAACTTAAAAACAGTGACTAATTAACATTAATGACTAATTAAATGATTACAAGTGCCAGCACACATGCCAGCATGTGTTATCTAGTAGTCCTGGAGCATTGCTCTCTCTATAGCTCTGCTGGTGTGCAGTTGAAGACTATCTTGGTGGTTAGTAGTTTAGTATTGTATGTACAAAATAGTATGTAGCCTTAACAAAGAGAAATACTTTGCTCCTGGCACAAAAACAGCATACTCGCTAAACTTTCCATTAACACTCCACACAAATCTTCTAAATGTACAGCTTGTGTTGCTCTGGAGATATTGAACTTTTTTACTAAGTAAAGGCTTTTTTCGTGGCCAATCCGGAAGACCGCCAACTAGCTACTACTGTGGTTTGCTATTACTACTACTACTAATCTAATTTGTCTTGGTGGTGCTGTGTCCGCACATCCTCCTCCCTGGCAAGTCATGCATTTTCCTTGTTCAGTCCCATTCTTGTCAAGCAAGAAGTTGCGAAACTTCTTTAGCTCTGACTTGAGATCCATGATATACCTTGTCATGGTTACCACTGGATCAAGATTTTTGTTTGATTCAATTGAATTTTTGGCTGAGTCACATGTTGCAATGGAAGYGCTTCTTGTTGTTGGTGCTTCTGTTTGCTATAGAAGTTCAAGCAGTCAAGAGGTTGCCATGTTATCACCCCCAGATACAGAAAGAAATTGATTGCCTAACAAGTTAGTAATGATGAGGATGGAGAGTGAGGTGAGTTCAGTTCTGGTTCTTTTACAAGAGTCTTTCCTCTTGTCCATGCTGTTGTTGTCTAGAGCAGCAGGTACAATATGTGGTGGTAATGGAGGCTGCGCAGCAAATGGAATGATTTGCTGTTGTTGGAGGATTTGTGCTTGATGCTGCTGCTGCTACTGGTCAATCTCCTCCTGTGCCTGCTGCTGCCAGTCAATCTCCTCATCCCATCCTTTCTTCCTTCTTTTCTCACCAGCACCACCATTTTTTATACCACCATATGGTTACTTACCTAGACTAGTAGTAGCAGACCTTCCACATRCATGGATATATTGGTTCACCTCCTTCTTGGACCCAATATCAGCTTCAGCAATAATCTGAAGCACATTGATAATTCCGCCAGGTGGAAGCTTCAGTTACTGTGATATTGATGGCATCCACACGGACAGCTTGCTTGTCCGTACACATCAATGTGTTAAACTGGATGAKAATAGTACTGTCTTCCAGAATCTTCTCCTTCATCGGTTCACCAAGACTATCTTGTTTGTAGAGCTTCTGGAGGTAGTAGCGTCTTGTGGTCTTAATGACAGCATGCTTACTGTCAAACTGTTGTTTTTGTCCCTGTTGAATTGCAATATGTCTGGATACCTTCTTGAACCACTTCAGCCACCAAATAGTAAGCTGAAGATTGAAGGGATCAATCCATTTACCTGTTTATACCCCTTTATGGTACAGCAACAAGAAATTTAGTAGCTCATTACATCCCTTTTCAACAGATTTGCCCACAAATTTAGAAAACTCATCCCTTCATTCCTCATTGGACTCATTTGATTTGATTGGAGTTGATAACAAAAAGCCAGATCTATGATTCCCAAGAAAACTKKCCAGCTTGGCCATGAGATATTGGCAAGATTGGCAAAATATTGGCAGGAAACCTGTAAATACTACTCCAATCAAGCCAGATTGGTGTTTACACAAAAAACTTCAAACAGTTGAAAACATCAGTTGGAGAGGCTGGCTTGACCATGATTTTTGCCAAGATGTTGCCCAAGGAACAAAGGCAACAATAACCTCAGTGCAGAAGGGCTTTGACAATTTCTGTTCTTGGGCATTGAGGTTGACCAAGGAATCTATTCTCCCATACTATCATATCTGCCTGAAGGTCAACAAAGATCTTCCTCACAAAGTACCACAAMCACTTTTGGAATGTATCTTTGTTAGGCCATTGCACTGAACAATGGACCTCTTCAGGTGTGGCATACACTTTGAGGAATAGCAAACCCCCAAATGAGGTGTTTTGGTTCACCAGCTGATCTTTCACTCAGCAGTGATGGTTCAGTACAATTCCATAAATCAGCAATAACAATGATCATTGGTGTGCAAAATAATCCTGCAATGCATTGTTCCTTATCCTTCTTATTGCTCCATGCCCTACTATCAGCTGCCCATTGAACAATGYTGTGTCTGATATCTTCAATGGTTTTCTCATTGATTGTCATGGTTGCTGGTTTTGTGCTGCTAGGSGAAAGATGCTGCAGTTGCTGCTGCTGACTGATACAAGCTTCCTCCTAATTGAATTTAATACATAATTTTAATTACATTTAATTAACATTGTAAATAAATTGAAATTACCAACAATAAAATCCTGTTCCATAGAACCACCCCTTAATTGAATTTTACATAGCCCCAAAATTGGAGAACCACATACACTGAAATATTTCTCCCTTTGATCCCTCTCCAGTACTATTGAGTTGTGCTAATCTCATTAATTAATACAATTTTATTAATCAGTTATAAAATGTTAAATGRAATTTTGTTAAGTTTTTGTTACTTACTGAACAATTTTTTATTAACTTCTTAAAATGGAATTAATTAATTTAAAAAATATTTTCYATGCCTTTGGGAGTTACCAATTACATAACGGTTAACATTAAATTATAGCTTGCAGTAGATTTCAACTGTTTTTACTTTTGAGCTCAGATTACAATGCCTAATTTCATCACACCATYATGCCCARCAGTGGTCCTTCAGATCCAATCTTGCTCAGTAATCAGCCAATACAACAAGAGAGCTCTCACGATTGATTCTTGTTTGATTCCCTGATATCATGCATACTTGGGAGACAGGAAACAGTGGCCATGATGTGTCCTTGCTGATATTGCCTGGAAATCCCTGAGCACTGCCATCAATTGCATGTCCAGGAATGTTCTGGTCACCAAATGTTGCAACCACATTCTGCCCACTGCCACTATCCTCAAAAGGTGGAACTGTACTACCAAACACATGACACATGTTGTCTTTCCCTATTGCCTGAAGATTCTGAACATCTCTTTAGATGTTTTCATCCATCACAACTTTGATGGTAATGACAGAMAATTGCCTCACTGAAACAACAGATGTCCACCCTTGGCTTCCAACCAATTGCCACTGACACTCTTGCTAGCTGTCTTATTGAATGGCTGGACACTGGCATACTAGTTTCCCCAGAGATATATCCTGCATCTCTTCATCCAATTATTCATTTCAAGAATGAGGTCGGATGGCACCACCTATTTGCCAGCCATATCTCACTCCAGTGGATTTCTGACCACGATCTTCATTCCAGTTCTCACTCCCCACTTGGTGTGCTGGGGGCCTATCTTGTGGAATTCTTCCTTACCTCTTGTATTGCATTGTGGGAACAGTAAAATAAAGAMCTCCATGGCTACACCCTTTCTCAGAAAGAAACACAACATCAACAGAGAATTGCAACAAAGGTCATCTCTCTCCTCCTTCTCTTCACCAATGTTGTCTTGATGCTTGTCCAYGAGTGCAAGTTTGAACATTGTTAGTAAACTATCTTTGTTTCTATGTGTCTTTATCACCTTGATGTCATACAAGCCCCATGAACAGCATACATCCTTGGAAGCTCAAGCCTTCTTCTTTACTTCCAACTCTGCTGTTGGTGAATTCTTTTCAGGTTTTCTTTCCAATGTCTGAATTAGTAAATGTTTTGTAGTTGTTGTACAAGAACAGGAGGGTGGATGATGCCTCCTCTGTTGGGCTGAAAGTTGTGCTCACCAGCATATCCTTGTGTCTTTTCTGTTTTGAACTTGTTTTGTTTAGGAGACACTGGTGCCCCTAAGATCCATTTACAAAGTAAAYGAATTCCAGAGCTCTGATGTTGGATCAAGCTCTGGAAATCACTAGTACTGAAACACTAACAAAAAACTTGACCAGCCTGCTTCCACAAACCATGCAAATAGTACTAGTAGTGAGAAATATTGTTTTTCCTTGTTTGTTCCCATCTTTTTGCTTTGAGTTTTGGTATGTTTTGTCCTCTGTTCTTGGCCATTACTAAACATAGGAGGAAATTCTAAAGTTATGTGCACTAGTATGGCAGGCTCTACTACAAAAGGACATCTGGCGTACTACAGCAGACCATAGTTTATGGATGTAACTCACATGAACATCTTAWATGGGTTTCAATGTAAAATATGGATTTGATTTTGAGCTGTTATCATGGCATTATGTGTAGTAGCAAATAATAATCGTCTGTTAGATTATGATGCTGTAATTGTTTTGAGCCTCTACTGTCTTGTATGCAGTGCAATGGAAATAGATATATCAGTATTGAATGAATAGAAGAATTATTGCTCAACTGTCTACCTGCAGGTATTTTGTAAGTGCATGTGCTTCAAAAAGTAGCRGCAGTAAAAGCCACAGTGTTATACATGTATCATTCGTTCATGGAAGTGGAGACACGTGGTGCCAAAAGTTGGTACGCTGGATTGTCTTGTTGCCACCRTCCTCGTGGTTTGTTGAAGCAGTGATCGGAATCGTGAACGAAAGTTGTTTCTGTGAATAAAAATTTTGGTGATTGTGGCTGCGTCCTTGACATTCGTCAATATGATCAATATCGTCTTCGGTCGAACTGTTGGCCATGCAGAACGACGCTGTTTGGAGGCCGTTGTGAATGATTGGCAATTGATCGTCGAAAGAAAAGGTTCGCCTGAGAATCCTCATCATGGACGAGGTTGAATCGTCGTCGTCCTCCTCGTCGTMGTCTTCGTCGAACCCAATAATGGTGGAATCGGCGGTGCGCTGGGTCTCGTCCTTGCTGACCTTGTTCTGGATGGGCTGGTCCGCCTCTTGGTTCTGGTCATTGTCATCGGCTTTGTGCTCACCGATGCTCGGGAAAAGGGGGGATCCGTCCAGGACGACCACGACCCCCGGCGGTGGTGGGGCGCGCCCACACCTGTCCTCGAAAATGTCGAGGGCCTTTGCCCTTACCGAAGACGACGACCCCGGGAAGCCCCCGTGGTCGTCAGAAGCGAACCGGTAGCTCAGGGAAGAGGTGTTCGAAGCGCAYGATGATTGGTGGTAGTGACCGGTGTTGATGGCCGATCGGATTTCTTGCGTGACGAGGCTGTCGGAGAACAGCACCATTGATTGGGCGGCAGAGGCAAGGCTGCTCCTCGTGGAGGATACAACGATATTGTTGGTGTCATCCTCCTCGAAAGACGACGGATTCAGTCTTCTCGTCGGGAAGGTTGGTTTGAAGCTTGAGTAGTGGCCACCGCGATTGAACTCCTTGCTGTCGAAGCAATCCGGGCGTGGTACAAAGAATCGTGCCTGAAACCACTGCTCCACGAGTTGGTGGTGGATGGCTTCCGTCCGGTTGATGCTATTGCCCTGGCCACAATCCGAATAGGGTTCGTGAACATCAACCATGTCTCGATGGTGATCATGGCGGGGATATTGGCAGCTATCCTTCTCGTCGTATGGAATCGGTTCGCTCGCACTACAAGCATACGGCATGGTTGGATTATATTGATGGATTGATTCCTACGATTGTGATTGTAGCTTGATCTGAACGCAATCAGGATGGAAACTATGTTAATGGACGATAGAATTGATGGATTTTTTTTTGTTCTGTGATGTTTCGTGATGATGGATTTTTTTTTGTTCTGGTATGTTTCGTGATGTTCTTCTTCGCGTTTTTCCGTACACTCCGAATCTAGTGATTATTGATTCTTCTCTGCTGTACGGTATTGTACGATGCTTATCAATCGTCGATTGCCTTCTGTTTTTTGCAAGGAATGTGATTGTCACATTCCTCGCACCTAGAAGAATTATTGCGTTCGAATAATGTCAACCAAGTAATCAATTCTATTAAATTCTGTGCTCGCCGAAAAAGAAAAAGAAATCTTCCATTCATCGTTCATTTTTGACAGGGCCAGAACACGATGTCTGAAAGCGACTAACAATCACGGGGAATCCCTAATAGAACGAAGCAATAAACATCTGGCGAAGTATGTTTTCCCGCCCGCCAAATTTTTCTACGAACACTTGTCCTGTSACGGCGATGTGTTGAGGCAATAACAAAGAAACTGCCTTGATAATACCTAAAAAAAAACTATTTAAAGCATATGTAGGTTTTTGAATTTTTGACGCATGCTCCAATTCCGTTGATGCAGCGGAACATGCTATCCAAGACCATGCAATTYCTCATTGGCACATGCCAACAATAATTTAACTACTCAACGTTGGCACGTCGCCATGATTCCAACGATTTTTTTCGCTAAGTAGCTGTCGTTCACCGAAAAACAAGAGGATGCCCAGATCGCCGTTGAAATTTGCATCCACGAAGGGCTTTTATGAAAGAGCACCACCCATACTAGCATGATTACGAGTACAAGATAGAAAGGCAAATGTGTGGACCGAATCTGGATCAGGTTATGAGTACAATTTAAACGCGCAGTTTTTATTCGTAATACGATAGGGTACC